ATGGGTGAAATTTTGGAAGTGCTTTAGGGAAGTCACAGCTACAGATCTTATTCAGTAATCCTCAGAGCAGTGCATAGGGTGGACTAGGAAATTACTTTGTGATACAGCATATGCTATGCATGTTAAGCTATTAGTCAATTCAGTTATAAAAACCACTGCCAATTTAAAGAAAAAAATAGACAAAGGGGACAGATTTAAGATATTATTACTTGGCTAAATATTTCAGTTGTGTGTACGTATGTGTATAAATGAAATTTGTAGAGTTACGTAGCCTGTATTTAGGGACTTATGGATGAAAATGACCAATTTTTATTGTACAAGCAATGTGTATATATGTGTATATATATATATATAAATTACATATGTAAGTTACATATATATAACTTAATTATATATATATCTATTAAATAATTTCACTTAATTCTCAGAATATTCAGGTGAAATCAGTAGGGGGGGCCTTAATTTTACAGATGATGAAATTGAGGATTAAGAGATTTGGTAGTTTTTTTAAAGATCATGTATTAATTAGTGGTGGAACTGGGGTTCACATGCCTTCCTCAGACAGTTGTGAAGATTCCAAAAAGTGCTTAGAAAGATAGTTGGCACATAGTAAGCCCTATAGTGATGTTACCTATTATTATTATTATGACACGGCTCATTTGAAGGAGATTTGCTTTTATTTTCCTTTTTGTTTAGTGCACACATGATAAAGTGCAGCTACAGCCACCATGTTATTGGAGAACTTCCCACACCCCCACACCCCCTCAGCAACTTCCATACTGAGTAAGCTTTAGGTAAAGCCTCTGCTGTGCAGAAGTTATCGATTGCTTGGTATTTTCTGTGTCGCAGCATCCAGACATTCCCCTTGGCCTGTGGTTATACTGCATTTAACCATCTTGTACTCATCTCACGTAGGTGACATATGCACCATCTCTGTCCAGAAGAAACAATAGAAAACAACTGAGTTAGAGGTATTCTGAAAGTTTAATTAAGGACTTGTCAAAATAACAATTCAGTTTGCCATTTTCACTCAAAAAGCTTTCAGACTTCTTATTTGAATGAATGTTCAGTTAAGTTAGGGAGATGAACTTAACGATGTAAAGGCAGAATCAGGAAAGAGAAAAGTCAAAAATAAAGAGATTAGACTACATTGCCTCTATCATTTTAAATTGAAACACTACTTTGGAATAAATTAAACAACAACGTATAGTTTCTTTGTCCATGAATCAAGGCACAGGATAAGTCGTTTTTTCACAAAATGTTTTTCGTCTAAGGATTCAAAAGTCCCAGCTATTTCCAGTTAAAGCAGCATCTGCTGCTTTGCCAGTTTCCACAGAGATGAGAGCTCGTGTTGATTTTCATCACATTTGTTCAAGCCTGGAATCTGGTTAAAACATGCAAACAGTCGCATTGCCAGTTAAGAGGTGCAATCATATAGTATCTTTTTACCTGCATTTAGTTTGATTCAAATGGCATTTGTAATTATGAATCTAAGCATGGATTATTTTTAAATAATTTGGCTTAGAGTAAGTAGTATCATAAGATAAAGCATTCTAGAAGGAAGAATACTGTAATATATTCATGTTCTTAGAAAACAATTATATTTACTTTAAATCTTCTCAATTGAAACCTGTATTCTATATTTTCAACACCATTTTGGGTGTTACTTTTTTGGGATAACTTGTAAAAAGAAGTAGTTTCTCAATTACATCTTATTTTAGCACATTGTCTAAACTGCAGATTGACCATCATAGAGATCTTCCTGTTATCCAATTAATAATGTTTCCATATTATTATCCATATGTTGATTGCACATTAACATCCTGAGGTGAAATCAGATTTTAAAACGATGATGTTGTTGAATTGGAAATGTCTGATATCTGTGTACCTACTTTTAATGAAAGTGTAAAAGGAACAGTAGAAGAACAAACAAAGGTTAAAGTGCTGACAAATGTTCTTCATTACCAAAGTATTATAGTGGACTGTAGTCACTCACCTTGCCGAGGCCTTTTTAATACACCCCAAGTTTCCATACTTAGTCTTCCCAGCTATTCTAGATAATTAGGTGGAAAATGTTGAGAAACCCTAAAAATTGAGAAGATGAGTAATGTATCTTCTTCTGTAGTTTTGAAATATTTTGAATGTTTAGTTGACCATTTCAAAAGAAAATTGCTATGTGATACCTAGCAATTTTTAAGTTTAATATCCTATATTACTAATATGGGACAAATTACTAATATGTCAAAATTCCCCGCTTATATGAATGCATTATCACTAATTTCCAGGGAAAACAGGAAATGCAAATGATCACCCACAGAATGATAAAAAGGAAAGCAGTTATGATGGAGCACTGCCTGATACCAAACACTGTTTCGTACACTTCACTTATCTCAAACTCTCAACAGCTTTGTAAGAGGATATTGTTATCCTTGCTATGTAGAAGAGTAAACTGAGGCTCAGAGAGCTTTAAGTGATTTTTACAAGCTGTTTAGTAGTGTAATAGGAAGCCTAATTTATATATTTTTCAATTATATAAAAATGTTGCCTCACCAGTATTAGTTTGCTATGAAAGGAAGTAAAGTCAATTTCATATAGTAGAATAAAATCCCTACCTTCCTTTTCAGTCAGAACTATCCACTGGCATTTTAGCAATAATGCTTACAGGTATTTTTACATGAACAAACATTTGAAATACCTGTTTCCATTGTAGATGTCATAGTACCTTAATTATCAATATCCTGTTTCCTCAAAGTAAAAATTTTACAAGATTTTATTTCCCCCATTTTTTTCCCTTCATTTAAGGTTCTCTAGTTCTTCTCTATGACTTCTGATAACTACATATGAAACAGCTCAGGGTAGGCATTGGGGATCAGCAACACAGTACATTATAATGATAAATAATGGGGACAGAATTTTTATTTTTAATTTCATAGTCCTTTCTTAATGCAAAGAAAAAAGTAGCTAAATATGGCCTAAGAATGTGATAGGAATCAAATTTTGTTTCAATATGTAATCTACTGTTGTTAGAAATAATTGAACAAAGTTCATAATCTTAATTTACTTCAGCTCTTAATATATACATGCATTTATACTGATCCTTTTTCATAAATTTATATAAATTAATACCCTGAACTGGCAAGTATACATAAAGAATTCATGAGAGTGATTGCTCTTGGAGAGAAATTAAAGGGTACTTATTCAATTAAACAATAAAGGGTACTTACTCATTTTATTGTTTCATATACTAATGGATAAAAACATCAATATTTGTTCTTTATTCCAGGTAGTTTGCTTAATATTTAAACATCTCAAAATAAAACCAAGTAAATATATTGGGAAATATACTTTTTATCTTCTCTAAATAAGTGATGTTCTATAATTTTTTCTCATGAAATATTGTCAGAAACTAGAAATGTTTGAAAATACAGAATGATACTTACTGTGTGCATGTCTATAAAATGTACAAATCACTTTTTAGTCTAATTTTGTTATCTTCACATATAAATATTTCTGGGTGCTACTCCTGATATGATAATGACTATGAAGACTAGTATTGGGTCACTGTCAGATTTCCACCATGACAGTGGGATTGATAAGTTGTTTAGAATCAGGTTCCCAACTAAAATAATAGAGACATCATGGCAAAGTAAAAACAGAAGTTAGAATAATACCAACTTTTCCCTACAACTTCCTAGATCTGTGTGCCAGGAAGGGCAAGAGATTTAAACTCTCTGAGCATTATACTCTTTGTCTTTAAAATAGACATAAAAATATTCTTATCAAGATGATACTGATGATTAGAAATAATATGGAGAGAGAGCACCTAACATAGTGCCTGAGATGGGCATTTATTTTCTACATAAATTTCTTTAAAAGCTGTCTGGAAAAAGACAATATATATGTCATAACAACTGATTCCCTGGTAATATAGAACTGATAATAATTATAAGGTAAGATTTTGGAAGGATTCAGTGAAGGATTTAATTTATCTTCAGTATGTTTTTTGAATTATGCAGTTTATTTCTAATTCTAAGTATTGCATGTGTGATTGCTAGTCAGAGGAAAAAATACAGAATATCTCTTTATCCAGACTATACCAGGCTTAAACACAGTAGAAATTATTTATAAAGTGACAAAGGGAGAATAGAAATGAAAGAAGAAAGACTGTCATTACTTGTTTAAATTATACTTAACTATTGGAAAGATGCATTTTTTAAATTCATCTATTATTTTACACTTTAATAACCTTTAATAGATGTCTGATAGTAAAGGTAGAGGACAGTAATGACTTTTGCAACTTATAGAAAATTGTACCTTTTGACTAATATAAAACTGAAATGTAATATATGGCTTTAATTTATTCATATATTTCCAGTCTTCACAAAGGAATATTCAGAGGCTGACTGATTTAAGAGTAACTTAGTCTTAACATATGATTAATGAGAACAGAATTGAGTTAATCAGAGTAGCATAAGGTAAATGATATCCAAGCAACATAATATATAAATGGCAGCATTTCACATCTTATATCCAGCATCCAGTTTCAGAAATTTGTATAGCAGGAATAGAACTTGCAACATCACAGTGGCCCAGATTACTGATTTTAGCATAGGATTTCTGAAACTTGAACAAAAGTTCATTCTGGCCCTAAAGGTCCAGAAGAAGGGAATCTCTACAATGACTTTACATTATACAACATAGAAATATTTTCAACTTTTATTCATTTAACAAATACTTGGGATGGTTATCTTTGCTTTCATTTATAAAAGCCAACTATTTTGGCTCGTTTTACATTTCTGTACGTGTAATTTTATTTCATGCTTACAGCAGTACTGTAAGACAGGTGTTGCTTTTTATATTTTACTCTACAGAAGAGGAAAGTGATACGCAGTTAAGTATCCTTCTTAAGTTAACAAGCAAAATGAATTCCTTAGTTCAAAATGCCTTAACATGTGCTTCTACTATGCGTAATTTATCAAGGACTTCCTTTTTGCTTTCAGGGATGACTTGTCAAGCTCGAACATCATACACTGAAGATGAAGTTCTTTGGGGCCACCGTTTTTTCCCTGTAATTTCCTTAGAAGAAGGATTCTTTAAAGTTGATTACTCCCAGTTCCATGCAACATTTGAAGTCCCCACGCCACCTTACAGTGTGAAAGAACAGGAGGAAATGCTTCTTATGTCGTCCCCTTTAATAGCACCAGCCATAACTAACAGCAAAGAAAGACATAATTCTGTGGAATGCTTAGATGGACTAGATGACATTAGTACCAAACTTCCATCTAAGCTGCAGAAAATTACTGGAAGAGAAGACTTTCCCAAAAAACTCTTGAGAATGAGTTCTACAACTTCTGAAAAAGCCTACAGCTTGGGCGATTTGCCCATGAAACTTCAACGAATAAGTTCAGTACCTGGCAACTCAGAAGAAAAACTGGTATCTAAAACCACCAAAATGTTGTCTGATCCCATGAGCCAGTCGGTGGCTGATTTGCCACCAAAGCTTCAAAAGATGGCTGGAGGAGCAGCCAGGATGGAAGGGAATCTTCCGGCAAAACTAAGAAAAATGAACTCTGATAGATTCACATAACCAAACACCCCTTCAGGCATTATTTACTGTTTGATTTGGTAATAGTCCAATATTTGGCTGATGAGGTAATCCTCTTTAAGGAATCTGAAAGGTACATTTTTTCCCCCAGTCATATATACGTATTTAAGAACCTTCCTTTTCAAGTATTACTAATGTGCAAAAGATAAAGTTGTAAAGGGAGGACATCAGAAGGAAGTTCTTATTAACGGGCATGTATTATCACATCAAGCATGCAATAATGTGCAAATTTTACATTTAGTTTTATGGCATGATTTATATATGGTATATTTATATTGTATATTATGGAAAATGTATATATATATATTTAAAGGGGTAGTACCCTGCACAACATTTCTAACATACGTATTAAGCCAAACATGAATTGATAGCTTTCAGGGTGATAAAACTATATATATATATGTGTGTGTGTGTACACATAGTTTTATATATACACACACATATATGTACATATATATACATACACATACACACACGTACATACATATATCTGATAAAATTGTGATGTTTTGTTCAAAGCTGTAGTTCTTGTGCATGTTTACTTTATTAGGCTAGGAAGGCTTCTGGCATTAATTATTAATACCAAATATTTTAGCCTTAAATTATTTGTCATTTTAAAATCTGATTTAATGTTTTCTGCTGTTTAAGGTCCTGGAAGGTTTTCAGTTGTTCTTTATACGAGGGAGTCACACAAGTCTGTGCTACTTATGGCCCTGCAAAAATATAACCATTATATGTTTAACTTGTAAATTTTGAAGCATACTAATACACTGACAATTTCTTATGATTTTTAAAAGTTGCTAGTACTGGGAAAAAATAAATATTGCCATTTTGAGAGTTGGTCCTTTCCTGGACTGATTAAAGTCTGGTAATCTCTTTTACATATGATCTAATACAAATATGAGCTCTGAACAAATGTTGAATCACTGTAATAGTCAGTAGCGAAGTTATATTGAATATATTGGAATCTGTGTGAAATTACATAATTAATGGTCCCTGTTTCAAACTGAGTCAATTGGTAACATTTTCACTCTTTTTCTCAAACTTTTGTCATTTTAAAAATAAGTAATTTATCTTTGAGGAGATAAAACAATACAATGAAACAGATGATAGGTATTTATGTGTAAAATATGTATGTCTCATTGAGTCTCTTTTAATGCCATTCTCCTGTTTGTGGCACTTGTTATAGCAGGACAGACTCTTTTCCTCACCTGGGGAACCTATTTCATCCCTTGCCTGTCACTCAATTCAGAAGGAATGTTTTGTATATACCTGAGAGAATTTAAAATCAGATAACTTGAAGATATTTTACCCATGTGAGTTTTTTGTTTTGTTTTGTTTCGGTAAACACTCAATTTATTGGTGTCTTGGATCTCTGGCCCACCAAAATAATTTTAGCAGTACTATTTTTTGAACCCAGAGGTTTGATATTTATGACTCATTAGTAGGAATCAAAACTATTCCTCAGAAGAACACATGAAAAATAAAGATTTGGAATGCAGAGATTTTAATGAAAATTTACAAGTGCTTCTTGTCAGAATATCATGGATTTTCCTATAAAGCTTTTTGGGGTATTGCAATCTAAGTCTGTCCAGAATTAATCTACTTCTCCTTATAAATTGTAAATCCTTAATAGCTGGTTTGGGCTCCCACCATTTCCCATTGTTTTTAGCAATCCTGTGATGATTTTCGTATTGGAAAATTATTACATCAACAGTTCTATCATTGACTACAATAATACCTTCTGGCTACCTCTGTATCAACCAAATTCTGCAGGTGCAAACATATACCAGGGAATTGTTACTGGCAAAATGATCAACCTTGAGCATCCAACCACTGTGAATAGAGCTGGTTGCCCTAACCCTTACCCCCAAACTTTCTTATTTACTGGATATAGGAAATGAAATAGTAGCAGAGAGAGAAGGGGACCCAGGGGTCACCGTATATTTATTATCAGTGGAAGAGACTGCACAGATCATTTAGTCCAACCACTTAAAACTAAACAGAGCCATAATTTAATTTAGAGAGTCATTTTAATTTGTTTTTGGCACCAAGAGGATTATGAGACCAAAAATAAACTCTCCAAATATATTCATTCATTCATTCAACAAAATTTTTGCATGTCTTTAATGTTCTAGGCATTTTTAGCTCCTGTAGATTTGGATATGACTAAGTCAGAGGAGGTCACTGCCCATTCAAACACTGCATATCAGTAGGAGTGGGGGGAGGGGAGACAAAAAACAAATGACACAATTTCAGAGTCAAAATATCAGTTAAGGGAAGGAAAACAGGGTAACATGATGGAAAATGACTGGGTGAAATAAGAATTGATTATTTTAGAAGAGGTGACTGGCTTAGGGAGGGGGTGATCTTTGAACAAAGACCTGAATGATGAGAAAGAACCATGGTTGTCAAATTTTTCTTAGTGAATGCTATTCCTTTAACTTTCCCACATATGTATGGGAAAGGTATGATTTCTGCATGTAATTGCAGTTTAACCCCTATTGCTAAGTTGATCATAGGTCCCGGTTTACCCAGGAGAGTTCCAGTTTATACCTGTTGTACCTGTGTAATTATTACTAATACTCCCTTTCACTCTTATAATGTCCTGGTTTGGATGATATATGGTGACTCTACGTTTTTGTTGAAACTAATTTATGAAGTCTGATATATTTGGATAAAAATAAAGAATTGCTTTTTCTTCTCATTTTGCTGATTTTTTTGACACTGGTCATTCCAAGCAAAGTCATCTCAGTTTCATATATTTTAGCCTGTAGGACTTCTCATCAAAGTGATTTCCTGTAACATTTGTTCAATCTGTACATGACATGTTTTCCTAGCAGTGAAAAGTTATGCATTTTATTGACTGAATAAAAAATAAACCTCTGGTATTTCCATTTCAGGAATTTGTAAGAGCTCACATCAAAGGGAGTAAAAGTTAACTTAAGTCAAGATAATTTTCAGCCCACCAGTGTGGTGACTGAAAAAAAAAAAAGCAAAATCTAATGTGTTCATTGAACTGAATAATTCAACTTAACTAGAAACTAGTCCCTTTTAATGGGATTTTCATGGTATAGCTCCTGTCATGGTAAAATATTTCATTCTGTTTATCAAAATGATGTAAATTAAAAAAACAATTATTTTGATAATGCCTATTTTCAATTTAAATATCCTCAGAAATATGTGAATATGCTTTTGTAAATATATATTAAACTAAAAATAAGGATATTTTATTATTTCTGAAGAAATTCTTATGCTGTTTTAAATTCATCCATATATGGCATTAAATATTCTGAAAAATATTTAGTTGTCTCAGTACTCAAGAGCCACTTTGTGGAAATAGAATGGAACCATAATGGATGATTTCTCTGGGAGGAAAAGTGAGATTCTGGGGAAGGTGGCTTATGTTCTATTTGAATGAAAGTTTCTACCATTTCATACCATGAAGAGAGTTCAGTGTGACTGCACAGCACATCTGTGAGCTCTATTCCGAGTATGTGCTTGAGTTCTGTTGTACATATTCAGATTAGCATCAAACTAATTGCATTGTCCAGCATGCAGTTTATTATTATTTAAATGTACAAGGTCATTTAGGTTACAAAAGCAGAAACTTATGTAATCAATACTGCAAGTTCAGTTTTATAAAAACTGTATTAAACTTTCAAAATATGATTGGGTTAAATTTCTGTAGCGTGCTCATCATTTTTCTACTTCCCAAGAGTTAATTACTCACATTACTTGATTTGGTTTATCATAAGACTTTTAACTCCTAAAAATCAATGATTAAATGATTGAAAACTTATAATTCAGTCATTATAAGTCATTCCTTGAGGGTTACTTTTATTTTGGCTCCTTACTGGTGAGATGCTTCAGCAATATGGAACCTGAATTTAATAATACAGATTATTTGAGACCTGCATTTCTTGGAGGAAGCTTCATGACCATCTTACGCTTTGCTGAACCTGAGTCTCAAAAGCCACAGTAAGTAAAGCAGACAAATACACTGTTTTCCTGATTTTGTTTAAATATCAAATCACCTTTTAGAAAAGCGCTCAGTTACTTTTTCTGACAGTGTTTCAAAGAAAAAGTGTTTTCCTAATTTTAGATCAGATGAGTTCAATATGTCATATGTCCAGCTCTCTGACACCTCACAGAATTAATCTGCAAAGCCAAGTTCCTGTAGCTTCTGACCTAGAGGAGTTCAAAAAGGATGATCCTCCTCATCCAGTAGAATTTTTTTCCAAATCATGATTTTTTTTACCTGAAAAGTTTTCTTGAAATCATGGCTGTTTCTGAATATTCAGGCTGTGTAGGATCAATGAACAAAAGATATGGTAGGGCCCATTATCTCTTCTCATTGCTTACTAAGATCAGTATCCAATATAACTCTTGCTTATCCTTTCCCAGCTCCACGAGTCAATTACTTGCGTGCTGATTTGCACATAGTATTTGGATCTTCACAACAGCTCTACATGGTAGAGATTATCCCCATTTTACACTTGAAGAAACTGATTCTCAGACAGGTTGTTTAGAGAATCCACAAACCTGAGTAGTCTCTGCGCTCTTTGGTGGTTCTACTGATATGCAATTGCTTCTTCTGGATTTTCCATTTGGGGGCGTTTTCTGTTTACTTTACACTGTGGTAGATGAAGATCTGGTTCTATTTCTAAAACTTGCTGCCCACCATACCTCTACTACATACACCCTACCCTAAATTCCCAATATTGTTATATTGTTTTCATATTTTTAATTAGATTAATTATCAGTGTTTTAAGTTCTACTGCATTTGAGCCCATATGTTTTGATCATTTTACTCACCCTCACAGCCTTTTCCTCCCTAGAGTTGATAGTCATTTTTTCTTTGCTTATTTATACATGTACTTATCACTAATTTAGCCACAGTGTCCTTTCCGATTATAAATACTTTCCTGTTAATTCTTCAAACACATAAAATATTGGAACAGTTTTCTCTTCTTGATGAAATCCCTACCAAAGCATCCTGATCTGCTCAATTTTGTAAATTTCTCTCAATTTATAGCTGTTGTCTTGGGATCTCCTTTTATCATCGTCATGGGGATTCCATTCACCTCTTTCTAGGTATAGAAACCCTGTTTCATGGTAAATATGCAGTTTCCTTGGTTTACTCCTTGGTTTTCCTTTTTCTTTTTTATGTTTTTTTGGCCATGCTGCACGGCATGTGGGATGTTAGTTCACTACCAGGGATCGAACCCGTGCCCTCTACGGTGGTAGCGTGGAGTCTTAACCACTGGACCACCAGGGAAGTCCCTAATCCTTGGTTTTGATAAAGCACATTTTCCAGGAGTTTCTCAGGGGGAAAAAAAAACCTGGTAGTAAACTTTTTGAAACCTTGATTTCTTTAAATAAATTAATTCTTCCCTAATAATTAATATTAAGAGTCTGGACTAGTGTAGAAATGGCGTTCCTTCTGAATTTCAGCAACATTGTTCCTTTTTCTTCTAGTTTCCAGTGTTGCTATTGAGATGTCTGATGCTATTAAGTTTTAATCCCTTGTGTGAAACTGATTTCTCCCCTTAAAACTTATAGGATAGTCTAATCTTCCCTTGGTGTTCTAAAATTTCAAAATTTCTGCCTAATTGTGCATCCATTTTAATCTTTTGCCATGTGCTTTCAATCTGGAAACTCATGCCCATCAGGAAAATTTTCTTAAGTTTTTTTTCCTTTATTCACTCCCTTCCATCTTCCTCTGTCCTTCTTTCTGGAATTTTCATTATTTGGATGTCAGAACTCTTGGAATGATTTTCTAATATTCTCATTTCCTCTTTTATTTATCTCTTTGTATCTTTTCTCTATTTTCTTGGAGATTTTCTTAATTTTATCATCTATGACTTTCATTTATATCCATCTATTTGATTTCACTTATCTTCCAAGATGTTCATTTCTCATAGAGTAGTCTTAATTTTCAAGAACTTTTTGTTGTTCTCTAAAGGTTTCCTTTTTTAAAGGGTCTTTTTCTTGTATCATAAGTGAAGGATTTTAGCTCTCTCAAATTTTTGATAGTGTGTTTTAAATGTTTCTTCTACCTTCATTCTGTTTCTAATATCTTTTAATACATATGATTTTGAATTTATTTTCTATGGAGGCAACTAAAA